TCCTTGTGAACAGGATGTTAATTGTAATCTTTTGCTGCTGCTGACATGTCTGCATCCAAGGATTCCCTGCTTTCATGTATTTGAGATTCTAATTCCAAAATTGAATCACACTACCTAAAAATCAAATAAGTTAAGATTTTTGTGCACACATGGCAAATTTATAAGTAACTGCAATAGACTCATGAAATGCTACATTTTGGTGTTTTTTTTTAATTCTCCAAACATTATTTTAATAGCTATTATGTTCAAACTATTATATGGATTCTATAAAATCTAGGTCTTTTTTTAGTGGAGGGGTAAAAAACATTTATTCAGCTAGTTCATTAGAATATATTAACGTCATTCTATCTTTCTTACAAAAAAAATCATTAATTGAATATGAACCAGCTTAACCACTAGTATAGTTTTCCATAAAACTGACTTGAATTTATTTTCATTTTTATAGTTATTCAGTAGTCAAGGTTTCAACTTACTGCTGTATTCCCAAGAGTTCCTAATACAGTTTCATTCACAATAAATGATCATTTGATATTTATGACAAATAGTGAAATGTAAACTTAATGGCATCTCTATTATTCTGACAGTCCTATGTAAATAATACCTAATATCAAATCTCTTCCTTAGAAAAACCTTGAGTGGTTTCTGCTTTTCCTGGCCAGACTGTGACTGTCTCCCAATATAAACAGGAGATTTTGAATATTTTTGTAAGATCTTTAAAATTCAGTTATAGTTTCCATTCTTGATAAAATATTTGTTAGGTTTATTATAAAATATTAATTCAAATCATTTACCAATTACAATACTTCACTTTTGTTTCCTAAACTTAATGTTTTAATTGATATTATTGAAGACATATCAAATTTATTCCATGTCTTTATATATTCCTAACACAGTGCAGTTTACACCTAGGTTGCCTCAAATCTCAATTTTAAATGAGCAATGGAAAGGAATCACAAGAGTTTAATCAAAAATACTATAGCAGAGCAGTCAGCACACTGCTTGAGTGGCTCATCAGAACTTGAAACTGGCCAGGCCAGAATGGGTGGTGGCTTTCCATAGTCAATAGTGACCTGAGAACAGGAAGAACACAATTGGCACTGAGCTGTCAGGATTACTATAGTGAAAAATATTGGGTGCCTATAATGTTCCAGGCTCAAAACCACTGCACCATAGCGCCCAAAGAAAACTGTCAGATTATAAGGCACATCTTCTCTCCTGGGAGTTGACAGCTTCTGAGGAAGCCTGAGTGGGTTTAATGGGGAGCATGAGTCTCATGGAATGGAAGTAAAATGGTATGCATCAATTCAGAAGGAGAGCCAGGAAAGTTATTTTTGTCTTACAAACTATAAAGGAGAGCATTCCTGAGGGGCAGAGGTCATGCTGTTTTATTTATCTTCCTGTATCTCAAGGTGCCTTGAACAGTGTACATAACAGGAAGACTAACATGTTTGTCCTGCACAGTTGAGTAGGGGACTTACTTTTTCCCCCCAGGGTATAGTATCATCTAGACTCCTATTGAATTTAAGTCCCCTCATGCTAGAGACTATTCTGCCTTCTCTAATCTATTTTATTTTTAACTTTCATAGTTGAAGATGGACAGAATGCCTTTATTTTGTTTATCTTTATGTGGTACTAAGGACAGAACCTAGTGCCTCATACATGCTAGGTGAGTGCTCTGTCCCAGTACCCTTTAATCTATTTTAAGCAAAAAAGAACAAAAATTCTCAGGACACCCTGATCATTTAATCAAAATAGGTTCTTTCAAGGAACCTGACTAGTAGCTTTGAGAAGGCTGAAGAGGAAGGCTTCCTTTTCCTGATCTCCACCCTCATCCCACCACACTTGGTTTTGACTGGAGTTAGTTTTTCACCAATAGGATTTATCTGTTTGCTGAGTTTGCCATGCAAATAAAAATAATCCTGTCCTCCTCAGGGTAAACATTTCAGATGTATCAGATTTAAAAACAAGAATTGAAATGAATACTGGTAATCTCTGAACTGGGAATTTTCTGTATTCTCTTGATCTCTCTCCTTTATCCTGCACTTAAGCATTGGAGAGAAAAAAATTTTTTTCCATGTACCTGAGTGGATATTGGAAGCTATTAAATGGTGGTTAAAACTGGGAGGGATAGAGGGAACTTTCCTCCCCCATTTTTTAAAGTTTGGCTGTAGGTCCTTCTGCCTGCAGGCTACAGTCACATTAGCAGTTGGAAATTGGATAACGACAGCACAATGACAAATCCAGGTTGCTTGCAATAAGTTGCTAATCCCTTTGCTTTAATATTGGAGCAGCGTGTAATGATGTTTGGACATCACTCCAGTTTACTGACGACCCCACTGGGGCCAGCAATAGAACCTTACAACTGTCTAACAAGGCGTCAGGTGACTCCCGTCGTCACAGCAACGGACACTGGAATCTAATCTTCCCTCCATCCCTTCTAGCACCCAATAACGCCTAGATTATATAAGTGGCCCATCATTGCTTGGTAACTTGAATCAATTAACGTTAATTCGCACAATGCTATGATGTATTGTGATCACTTTCATTTCAGGGAAGGGGGAGAAATTGCTATAAGTCACCTAAAATGAGGTTGTCTGTGGTGCTGAGGTATTAATTGGGTGTCCATATTAAATGCAAAAGGAGCCCCATCGTGAAAGGAAAGTGGATGAGTGACTCTCTTGGCTGCTATTGACCTATCAGAAGAAGACAGTGCCCTTTTCCTTTGCTTTTATCTATTACAGTTTTCCCTATTGCGTGTCAAGTTGATGTATTATAAAAAATTCATTTGGTGACCTTTCACCCCCTTAGCAGATTAAACAATTTCACTTGGATGGCATCATTAACAGGACCCTGCATTTAATGATGATTTCTCTAAAAGGCCACGGAGATTCGATTTTAAGCTAACAGATTTATTGCACTATTATAACATATCGTAAAAAACTGTACCACCTACGGTCAGGTTTTAGGATAGAAACTGCTTAAGAGTTTATGTGGAGCTTAAAGTGGTATTACCTTGGGATATGCTGCAGCAGCAAGTCTCTGACCTCCAGTGAGATGCTGTTTACATTTAATAAGAGATGTTTGCTCACAATAAACTTTGAAGTGTGTCAGGGACAGGCCTTTCTACAGTGTTCAGGCAGTTGTTTCTCATCGCTTTGTCTCCAGACATCAATGTACTTATGTCAGAATCTTTAATGGGTCTCTCAGTTTCTTTAACCCAGACTGCTTGCCTGCACTGGCCCCTCATCAGAAAGCCTTTAAGGACTAGGTTAGGAGAGAAATAGGATCTGGTAACAATGTTAAAATTTTCCAATAACATGGGACCTATGGAAGGATAGAATTAATGGCACAGATTTTAAAAATCTGGTTTAAATTAGTCCCTTTAAAAAAAAAGGGTTGGGGGAAGGGCCCATAGTCACTCAGGCTAAGCAAATTAATAAATGAAGATTGAGCTAATTGAATTCCTAGGGAGTGATTCTAGCACAGAGGCCAGAACTTTAGTTGGTAGGTGACCAAAGGTATGACCACAAATGCCCACTCTGCCTGCTTGTCCTAGGGTTCCCAGGGGAGAGGGGAGTTACTTCGTACAGAAACTTCCTCATGTTGTGATCAATGGATCGAAGTGGTGTTTGCTTTTCCACTATTACTCCTTTCAGGACTAGTCTTCAGCTTTACCAAACATGTACCCTTCGGGAGGGCAAATACTTTCTCCTCACATGAAGAAGGGGAAGAAGTTGGGCAATAGAATAAGTGATTTGCATATATTTACTGAAGGGAGAGGATAAGATACTCAAAACAAAACAAAACAAAACAACCTTCTTAGATCTGCTCTAGGCTGATTTTAAGGCAACTCAACAAAGGATGCTATGTTAGGGGAATATATATGATACGTATGATATATAGTGTCTGTATATTTCATTTAATTGTCAAATATATGTTGCATGCCTGTGATTTAAAACATAATAGATTTAATGGAATATAAGTGTTTAGTGTCCTTTTAATAAAGCTAGCTTGGTCATCCAACATATTCAAATTCTGGGTGAAGATGTTTAAGTTATCATGGATTATGTAACTATTTTAATACTAAATAACATCAGCAATTAACATGCTTGAACAAGATGAGAAGTGATGTATCTCACTGCTTTACCACTTAAGACCTTGGTGAACAACAACTAAGACCTTTATCAAGTTACGTAAGTTGTTTGGACTTATTATTCCTCAAATGTAAATAAAAGCACCCATATCATAGCGTCATTTTTAAAATGCAATGAGTTTATACTTGGAAAGTTTTTAATAGCTGGTACGCAGTTTTTGCTCAGAAAATGTCCCAAGCATTATACTCCTCAGATGCTTCTTGCAATCACACTAAATTAATCAATTAGTGCCATAGGTATGGAATCTACTTAATGCATACACACCAGGAGAACATAAATGTGAAATGGTGGTTGTGAGGATACTAAATGCATAAAGTGCTGGTGCATTGGAGTTTTCTTTTGGCTATCTCTTCCCAGCTCTTTTCAGTTACACTATCTTGGTTACCCAGGAATCAGCATGTCAAGAGAATGTTTACACCACAGAAATTGGAACACACTACAAATCACAGTATTTTTTCCTCCACAAAACCAGGATGTTTTCTGGGAGAGCTGGTTAAATAGCCTGCTATTCAACTTATAGCAGCCCCTAAATAATTCACTCTGATAATTTCCTTTACCAAGGCTTTATTTTTTGCTGAACTTAATACACAATGATAAAAATATAAGTGCATAGTTTGTGCTTCTCCCCTGTCCCACCTAGTTCACTTTTTATTATGCCTAAGCATACATATCAAATATACATATAATTTACATATCAATATAAAATGAGCCATTATATAGTATATTATTAATTTTCCAGCAATAAGGGCAAACAACATATTTTCACTGGTAATAATGTCTTTGGAAAAGAGTTACTGCAATGATATTTGTAACCCTATGGATGTATTCTGTTTTTATTTCTGCTAGAAACACAAGTAGTTTCAAAACTGAGAACTGGATATACACTCGGCCCTATGTTCTTTCAGTGCTAGTCCAGCCTTCAGATGGAGAAGTGGGAAAAGAGCTGCCCATGCAGCCACGGCTTGTTTTTCTGGATGAACAGGTAACTTTGCACAGGTAATGGACTTTATATAACACGTTTTAGGTTTGTCATCATTGATACACTTTTGCAGAGTAACCAACGTGTGAAATTTTCAACACAAAACTGTTTACTGTTATTGTCATTTTTCTTCCAAGTCACAGTCTGCCTCCCTTCCATTTTCTATGAATGTTCAGAATTTTATTAAGGATAAAGAAAATTCTGATACTTTTCTCCACCAGGAAAATTCTTGAAGCATATTTCTCATATCTTCTCTGAAATCTAGCCTTCCTTTTTAGTCAGCTTTTTCATTTCTGTAACCAAAAACCCTGACAGGAACAATTTTAGAGGAGGAAAAGTTTATGTGGCACTCATAGTTTCAGAGGTCTGAGTTCATAGACATCCAGAGGAGTATGTGTTTTGGCCCATGGTTTCAGAAGTTCAGTCCATGGTTGGCTGACTCCATAATTCTGGGCCAGAGATGAGGCAGAACATTATGTTGGAAGAGTGCAGAGGAGAAAAGCAGCTCAAGACATGGCACCAGGGAGCAGAGAGAGCTCCATTGACCAAGGACATGATATAAACCCCAAAGCTACCAGCCCAGTGACTCACCTCCTCCAGCCACTTCCCAGTTAATCCACATCAGTAGATTAATCCACTGATTGAGTTGAAGCTCTCATAATTTAACCCCTTAGCATTGGAATCTTCCTGCATTTTCTCACACATAAACTTTTTGGAGACACTCATATCTAAACCATAACATCTATTCAAAGAAGAATGTCTACATCTGAAGAGGTCTTCTCATAGTGAAAAGCTCATGACATCACATATATATTATGGTTCTATGTTATCTTTTGAATTATCTCTCTACATGTGGTTCAGTAAGTCATTAACAAGAAGCTTCTGTACATAATACTATTTTCAGGCTCCATGGCCACTGGTTGTATTTCATCTTTTCTAAGTTTATAAAATTTATGAGGAAAATGAAATAGGTTTACCACATCAGTTTTCTCCTCTTTACAAGTACATCTCTTGACACATAGGGCTAAGGTCCATACTTGGAACCTGTCACCTTTGATCTAGGCTAGCACTTCCAACTCTCTCTTTCTTCCTTCTGCTAACCTTTCCCTTCTTAGTGACCTTAAACTAATGATGACACTCTTCTCTTTTATAAACTTAGATGTCCTTTCTCCTGTTTTCTGTCCTGCTTCAAATTTTCCCATCATAATCTCTATTCTCTTTCAGTAAGCTATTTTGGTATCTTTTTAATATGAGAAAGAAAGCATTTATTGTTTTCCTTCATTTATTTCTATTGAACATATATTCAATAAAAATTTCAGTCTGAATCCGCTTTTCTTTTAGATAATTTCACAGAATACTCTCCTGAATCCAACTTTTTCTCTCCACCCCCCATTTTCAGAATCAAAGAGTGGAGTCCTTGGGGCTCCCTTCAGAGCCTTGGATCATTTCAGCTTCCCTAGAAGGGACATCAGATTCAGTGCTAAAAGGTTGGTATTAGTGACTTTCAAATATCTATTATTACTTTGTACAGAAAATAAATATTTTCTTTATCTTAGTCTATGTTTTGTTTTTATAACAAAATGCCTGAAGCGGGAAATTTTTATAGAGGTTTATTTGGCTCAAAGTTCTGGAGTTTCAGGGATCTGCATCTGGTGTGGCTTTCTTGCTGGTAGAGGTCTGAGGTAGTGGCATGAGATGGGAGTGCATGTATGTCCATGTCTGTCTGGTCTCACTTTTATAAAGCCACCAGTATCTATTTGTGGCCACTCTACCCTGATGATTTATCCAATTCTAAATACCTCCCAAAGGCTTCAACTCTAAACACCGTAGCCAGATTAAATTTTAACCCTATTAATATCTCACAAGTAATATTAAATTTCAACACATGAACACTTGTCTGTCACGCTTGAACCATATCCAAGCCATAGCAGTTCCCATTAGGAATTCATAGCATCATTCATTTATTCTCACTATGGTGTAAAATAAAGGGCACAGATTCTTTGGCTTGGTCTCAAACCCCAGTTTTTTTTTTTTTTTTTATGAACTACTTTCTCCATGACACGTAGTGGTTTGGTACAGTATCATGGGCTGGTACAGGATGGAATTCACCAGGTACAATGTAGTTTCAATGAGGAACAGAAACACTTGTTCTCAACGTTCTGTAGAATAAATCATTGATAAATGCAAAAGCATCTGATCCTCAGAGTTCATTTCCTCCTCTCTATCCTTTGTCTTGTTTCTGTTCTTGCCTTTTGTTCAATTCCAGCACAACTGCCAGTTCCATCTCTTTTTCTTAGAGCTTGTGTATATGAAATTGAAAATGGGTTTACTTGGAATGAAGATTCCGAAGTCTTGGCTCCCCCCAAATTATATCAAATATTCTATAGAGAGGACCAGGAATGTGCATTTTGGGGCCAGGTCCATATAGAAACAAACATGTATAATGTGGTTTTTGAATAAAAATTAATTCTGAGTTCTAAATTCTTGGCCATAGAATCTACAAAAAGAATCCCACTACAACATACCCAAAGATTAAAGAATGTACTTGCAGGTGTGCCTAGTAGTCTGCCACAGATGAAGAACTCAGAATTCCAAGGATCATTTCTGTGCCACTTGTTTAGTCTTTGTTTTAGAGCTTAAAAAGGACACCTTCTCTAATTACAAAGTAGTTTAATTATTGAATTTTAATGTTTTAAAACAGTACAAATGTGATCCATGTAAAATAGTTTTAGGAGGGAAACCACAAGGTAGAGCAAAAGGAACAGGGGGAGGGAGGAGAAGGAGTAGGGGAAAATACTGGGAAGTGAAACTGATCAAATAATGTATTCATGTAGCAATACACCACAATGAAAACCACCATTCTGTGTAATAATAGGCATCAATTAGAAATAATTAAAAATAATATTTCCAGAAGAATATATTTGAGAAACAGAAAGAAGGCAAATAAACCTAGTAACTATGGGAGATAATGGGGGTGGTAAAGTCAAAGAGTTGGCCTGGAGCCAGACCACCAAGGGTTCTGGAGACCACATGGAGGGTCTGAACTGTATTCTCAGTGAGATTCCAAGCCTCTGAGACTTCTAAGCAGATCAGCAAAAACCTGTGACTTCCATGTTTTGATTCCCACTCTGCTCTAGAGGGTGGATTGGAGAATAAGGATGAACCTACTAGTCTAGGGATCAGTGACTGGAGAAGACCAGACAAGAAATAATGGAAATAAAAAACAAAGCACAAAAACAAACACAAACCTAAATGTTGTTTCAGAGTGTCTTTTATAAGTAGAATCAACAGAGTGTCGTGTAATGGAAGTAAAGGAAACAAGGATGTAAGAATAAATCTATATTTTGCCTCCATATATTGTTTGGACATTGGTCTCCTTTACTGAAATAGGAAAGACTAGACTAGGAGAAACAGAAAAATGTCAGTCTAACCCATTTGCTGGGTCAGATTAGATAAAGGTATAGAAATACCTTTACCTTTACCTATACAATGGTTTTAAGTTTTAAGGCAAAAGGAAAAAGAAGTTTCTTCTTCTGGTTGTTATGGTTTGTGTTTCAAAGTGTGAAAAGGGTTGCCTTGCTTCAGCCTATCCCAAGTTATTAATCACTGTTCCTACTATGAGTCTTTTCTATTTCATGAGCCAAAGTTTTCAACTCCCAACATAAGTTTTGCCTAAAAGCTTCAAACTCCCAATGCGCACAAACTTCCTCTCTACACAGGGACCTTAAGCTTTTATCTGGCCACAAGTAGGATTATGTGCTTTTCTTCTCATTTGAGGAAATGCCAATCATGCACAATCACAGTTCAATTCTAAATTTGGCTATCAGGTGAGGAAAATTCATTTTAGATCAACTGGATATAATCAGGAACAGGATGGTTCATTGGAACTTTCTAAAGCCATCTTCGATGTTTGAACAGGAGGTCAGAGATTTTAACAGTCTAAAAAAAATGAACCTGTTAAGTCCCTTTAATTATTCCATAGTTTCAGTGAGAAAATTCATAAGATATTCCACAAACTCAAACTGGTTAAAACAAATTTTAAGGTAGGTCATGGGAAATATTTCTAGAAAGGAAAGCAGCCTCCCTCATCCACACAACATTTATCCCAGATAGGCCTCCTCAAAAAAAAAAAAATCTTTATGGGGTGATCTAATTTAAAAATTAGAACCAATGAATTTATCTTGTCTGTTTGAATTCAGAGCTATGGAAAAATTTAGACCAAGAGCTGGGTCACTCCCAATCAAGTCTCTAAATTAAACATTTCTATTGCTGTTTCAGATTTTAAATACTTTCTAAGTATTAGCTTTATTGTTTTTCAAAAATAATAATAAATGTTTTTAAAATATGCACATTAAGAGATATCTGTCAGTAATGTTAAAACAACAACAACAAAAACCAGAAATAAAAGTTTTAAGTAAATCTTATATTAGTACCATGATATTTACATAGGGAAAAAGTGGGGAATATTGTCGAGTTTTACAAACCATTCTTTATAGACATATGGTTTTAAGCACTGGTTATTCATGTAACATTATTGCTGTCATGGTAATTATGTGCCCTTTGAGATTTATCAGTAATATGTTAGAAGGAGGTTTCATACCAATGAATCACTGGCAATTTTAAATTGCTATGGCATATATATATGTGTATATATATATATATATATATATATATATATATATATACACACACACACACACACATATGTATATGTATATATATGTATATATGTGTGTGTGTTTGTGTGTATACATACACACACACATACACAAGGTAATATACTTTCATATAATTGATCTACTAGCCCTACCTTATACAAATTTAAGGATTATTCACAACTCAGATTTCTTACATACTTCATGGGCATTTCTATTGTTTTTATATTGCCTGGAATATTGTTTTTCCAAACTTAGAAATGATTGATCTGCCAGTCTAAACATCAACCTACCTACAAAATTGTCCATTTCCAAGAATAGGCTGAAACGCTACATTTATTTCTTGCTCTATCCAACCTATGTGTCTAAGATCCTTTACATGACATCCAGAAAGTATATAAAATGCTGCAATGAATAGGAGTAAGTCCATCACAGAAGAGCTAAATCTTGTCTCATCTGCTAGCTATAGATATTTTTGACCTAAAACAGATCAGCTAATCTGGTACAGAACGCCTAACTCTCTTGAGGGTATTGCTCTTTCATTTTTTTTTTTTTTGCTATGTGTCTTAAAAAAAAGAGAGAGAGAGAGAGAGATGAAGTTGTTATGAAGAAGTTTGCAAGGTAATGAATTCTCCTTCACATAGGCTTCATGATTCAGTCTCGGATCTTGGGTTGTTTAGCATCCCATTTTGTTTCCTACAAGGCTACACCTCATCAACTCCAGAGAACAGAACTCTCTCCTGAAAAGTCTCTTGAGGAGGCAATCACATCTTGTGATTAAACATTTCATAGCTTCAAAACTCTCGCTGTTTAAAGCTTGTTGTTTTCTTGTTAGAACTATTTTCCTACCATCTCTTTTCAAGTTGCCTTTCAATTATTATGGCTTGCAAATTCCCTATTTATCTACCTATTTATTAAGAAACCAAATCCCTTCAGCCTGCCCATAAAAATAATTTTCTTCCAAACTTCCAAAGTCCTAGTACCCTCCTCAGTTTCTTTTTATACAGTTTAATTTTACAGGCCCAGGGAACACTGTGTGTTTTGTGAGAATCTCCCACAAAACTTTGCAGAATTACATAACCTGTTTGTGCTCATATTGGTAAAAATAGCACCCATAGTACAGACTTCTTGTTTTTTGCTTTGGGTCATTTTTTTAACCCGAATAGTAAAGTCTGAAGATGAAGGCAGAGTCCCAAATGGTCTATGTACAAATTTCCAGGAATAAGCCACATCATCAGGAAATCATGGTAATAAGTAAAGGCTCCAAGTCTGGCCAATGTGAAAAATCAAACATTCAAACCATGTTATGAGCCAGTTTTGAACTGTTGGTTTTGATGGAATCATTCTGCCATTGTTCAAGGCCATTTTGTTGTTTTGGTGTTATGGTAAAGAGAGTGCTTAGGATATAACAGTAAGTTCCCTTTTGATAATAATCTATCAGCATCAAATATTAATTTCCAGCCTTTCTCATGTTCCAGTATTACAACAGATATTCTAATGTGTCTATTGAAATTTACCTACTTCTATCCTTTTCTCCACAACTTAATAATACCATATCTAGGTTTTATACATATTCCATGCCTTCCCCACATTCTATTCCTTATTTCTAATTCATTCCTTTATCAATACTTTATGTTTTGCCCACACTTCATACTTTATCAGAGTCCATGCCTCATTAATTCTTCATGTCTTTTCTAATCCACACATTGCCCATATTCAGTACCTTACCTATACCTACCTTCTCCTATATCATTCTTTACTCATATTTTCTTCCTCATTCCATAGTTTGTCTTTCCATACCACCTTTCACTAGTGTTCCCTTAATTATCTTAAGGACATCCACACTGATCATCTTAGGATTATATTGGAGCCATGCAAAAAGAATGATGCATGAATCCATTTGTTATTACATTCTGTTAATATCTAAACATGCTTAAGCCAGTTGGCCCACCTGGATCAGTAGCCTCCCTATTGTCCCTTTCAGGAGATCTGATGGGAGAGTATGAGGAATGACTGAGGGTTTTTTCTATGCACAAATTTTGTGTGTGTGTATCATAAAGTAGGGAAAAATCATATGTATTTTTTCATTTTTAGAATGCTCATCTCACAGAAAGCACCCTATTTCATATGATTGAAAGTTTCTCTTGAAGCCATCATGAAATATTTCTCTTTAACTTCATAGGAATAGTACCAAAAGCATTTGGGATGGATTATCTAACTTGTTCTAAGTGTTTCCTGGAGAAAAACAAAATAGCAACTGCAAAACCATATTTATATGTCTAGTCTCTTTTATTCTGCCATTTAACTTCATGTGCTTTTTTCTAAGGAGAACCTCCTTCATGAAAAAGATGTTTTTCCCCCCAAAAGTGGATTTATATACTCAAAAGACAATTATTTAAGGATCTTCCAGATCCTTCGACATTTTATTATATATCCTAGTGGCAGAAAAAAATGTATTTCTAAAGATAATGCCTTAACATTAATTATACAATAGTTTGCTAGTGTGTACAGCAAGGGGGAAGTGAATTCGTTGTAGAGATGGTTTAAGTTGCAAAGATATTTTAGAAGCCATATACTCTGTGGAAACACATTCAGGTAATATTCTCTGGTAGCCATGTAATCAATTTCAATATTGCTTCCAGCCCAGCACCCTACTTCATCCAGCCAGTGCCTTGTTTATACCAGCTTGATCAGGGAGACTGTCAATGGCATTTGTATATTTTATAATAGCTATTCCAAAGATATGATGAACCCTGGAGTAATGTACTGTACTTGGCAGCAACTGCTTCAGCTTTTGGGCACATATGCTTCAAATCTGAGAATATCATAGATATATAAGGAAATCTTTGTGGAGATCTCTAAGGCAAGCTGGTATTTAACGCAAAAGCAAACCCATTTGGAACTAAAGTACTTTCCATTAGGCAGTTTGGCGGCTGTTCTATGAGGCAGACTCACTGTGCTCCATGGACACATTTCGATTAAATGCTGCTTTGTATTCTTCCAAAGATGGGAACAATAAGGACGTTTGTCAAAGGAAAAACTGCAGCAAATGATTTCATGTTGAACATCTGTACTCTGCAGTTCATTGTTTGCAAGAGTTTATTGACCATAATTTTGATGCATATAGGTTTTAAAGAGTATAAACTGCATTTATCTTGGGCGCCTATCATTTATTTGAGTCTTGGCTTATTTATTTCCATTTTTTCTGGGCATTTTATTTATTTTGGGAGTCTAAAGAGATGAAAGAAAAGATGTTTCCCCAAAAAGTTTTAGTTAGCTCTGCAAAATTGATGAGGAAGACACTGTTTTCACAAAAAGGATTGAGCAATTGAATTGAAAAATGTACCACTAAGCATGCTATATCTTTATGATACCTTTCAGCCTTAGAGATCTCAAACCAATTTATAAACTTTAACACCACTCTATACTCTGTCCACCATAACAATTATAGTGACATTTCCAGAGTGAAGTATAGCAGCTGTTAATTAGCAAAGTAATTTAGGGGTAGTAGAGTCCAAAACAAATTTATGGTGTTGGCAATGTAATCCCGAGTTAAGTTGCCTCTTTTCCTTTTATAAATGTATGGTTTATTGTTATAAAATGTGAACTTTCTTGTTTGCATTTAATTCAGTGAAACTAAGACCCAGAGACTATGCTAAAGCATGGTATATATGTTGGTCATGATTTTCTGACTAGCTGTTATTCTGATCTATTGGCTTAACTCTGCTACCACATAAATACTCATAAAAATACTGACCCCCTGGAAAGATAATAGACTTTTTCCTTGACAGACTTCTAATAATAAAACGTCAACCTATAGTAATAGTTAAGAATACAAATTTTGAAATCAGGAAGATTTCGGCCATAATCGCAGAATTAAGTAATTTTTATGCATCTACTTTTTTAATCTCTAGAATATTGGCAATAGCATATTTTACAGGGTTGTCATATAGTTATAGATAATGATATGTATAAAGCACAGTGTCTAGCATATGAATGTTTCAATATATGTTTTCTGTTATTATTCTATTTTTAAATATTTGGTTTTAAGACTTGTCTAAGAACTTGATGGGTTTGGTAACCTCTCTAATTTTTTAAACATTTTCCTTTATTGTCCAGTTTCTTGTCTTCAGAAAAGACTTGAAGACACTGATCTCGAATAGATAACTAATAGCTACATTTTGTTTTGTGTTTGTTTATAGGGTGTACCCAGGCAGAAACACAAGATGGTTATGTGAGCTTCTCCAACTTGGCAGTCTTGATCTCTGGGTCAAACTGGCACTTTATTTTTAATGTTACTTCCCCTCCAGGTAATTTCAGCACAGTGTGCTTTTATTATCTGTTTCCTTTCAAAAAATGATCCCTTCATCTTTATAATGGAAATAACTCCTCTTGTGAGTAAGAAGTTATACTAGTTTAGAAAAAAAACTCACTTGGCTGTATCATTAACCATGTGAAGAGCAAGCACACATAGAAATTAAGCCTCAGGAGGCTTCATGGTGAGCAAGAATCCAAGTGTATATTTTCCTCTAGATGTGAAAATTTACTTTTGTGTGTTCTACTTATTTCTTTTCTTATTTCTATGATACTCAGTTCAGTATTAGTGAGAAATTTTAATTTATAAGAGAAGCAGTCTTGAGATATTGAGTATTATGAAATCTTCTCTTTGGGTCCCCCTCTCCTCATACATTCCCACGTGGAAAATGGTGATAAAGCCTAGTAACCTCCTGGGACTTCAGAACCACAGGTAGAGGGTGTGAACAAAATGTGATATGACCCAATTTTCCTTGATAAAACACTTAAAGAAATTTCCCTTTTGGTGCATTCAGGGCATATCTTGTGAAAATATATAATGAGTACTTGTCAACAAGTTATTTAATTCATTAATGAAGGAACCAGAAGGATGGCAAAACTATTTTAAAGAGCATTTGAAGTATAGCACCATATAGCCAAAAGAGAAATTCTGAAATAAGTTTGTCAATTGGATACAGGGCAATAAAGCCATATTCTCTGAGGTTACATGCTCACATATCATTTATTTATTTATTTATTTAACACCTCCTCATGCACCTTTATTTTTATTTTTATTTTTTGCCATTATACTGAGCTTTATTATTATTATTATTATTATTATTATTATTTGCATTACAATTATTAATACACCTTTATACCACCATTTATCATATCTCTGATTGTATATAAGGTATGTTGACACCAAAGTCACATCTTCATACATATATTTTGTATAATGATGAGGGTCTCCTTTCACCATCCATGCTATTCCTCTTCTCCCTCCCTTTCCCTCACATCCCTATTCCCTATCTAGAGGTAAGCTTCCTCCCTTGTTCTCCCTCCCAGCCCCATTTTGAGTCACCCCCCTTATATCAGAGAAGACATTCTGCATCTGTTTTTTTGGGGGGGATTGGCTAACTTCGCTTAGCATATTTATATCTTTATTGGATGAAACTTATTTGCAGCTTATCAATCTTCTACAAATTAACAAGTTTAAACTCTAATTAATGATAAACATTACTATGTGCCTGAAATCCCAGCTACTTAGGAGGCTGAGGTAGGTGAGTCATTTGGGTCCAAGAACTCAAGACCACATTGGGCAACATAGCAAGACCCCAACATACATAAATAAATAAATAAATAAATAGTCAATCAAAAGTATACTCTAGAGAATTTGATAAACTTTTGATAAGACCATTTTGAAAAAATGCCAGTAGGTCTTGAATAAAGTTTGAAATCATCTTCCTTTAATTCCAAGTTTTGTATTACTTAACAAACTATTTTTTGAGGTGATGTAATACTATTAAGTATAATTTTGTGGGGCAGCTATCCTTTTAATAATACCTTTGAAAGTGTGCTGATGTAAGCACAGTTTCACAGTGTGACATGTTCAGTGTACTTGAACAGGGAACTTCAGGTGTTTTATCTTGTGCATGAGTTTCTGAATGGATGTGTTTTAAAGGGTCAGATAGGCAGGGCTGGATATTGGTCTCAGATTTGTTCTGGTATTTAAAAGACTTTTGTCCTTTAATTTCCTTAGTGATTATCTAAGACTAGCCAAATACATAATCAATGTTATTTTAAGGAAAAAGTTATAAAACTAAAGGTAAGATATATTGTAGACAGAAACTTCTCAGTACCACATGTGATACCCAACTGACCTTGGCATTCACATTTGGTACATCACTACTTTTAGTTTCCTCCATGTAACTTATAAAGTAGAAAAACTAAGGATTTGTCTTAAAGTTTTTTCCCTAAATTGTTCTTCACAATTTTCAAGACCAAGTCTATAAACTGAGGCTCTGTAAGAAAGAGATTTTACAAAAGAACAGTAAAAACATTAAATGGTCTGTACTCTAGGGACCTCTTATTGACATCATGCTGATTAATGGTACAGATCCCAAGAGTAACTGCTTGTTTGCAAGTGTATCAATTTCTAGTGCTAGAAGGTTTGGAAAGCAGACTTTGTTCACAAATTCAGGCCAATTAATTATTTTTTTTGTTGTTGGCACTCAAAAATAATAGGTTTGATGAGCATTGATTCATATAGCTTTTTCATTTATATGTGAATCAAGCAGAGAGCTGGTAATAATGTTCTTCAATTTCTTGGGTAGAGGAGCAATTGAATAGATATTACCGTTGTGGATACAGAATCCTCATAAGTCTCTCATACATTACAAACCCAGCTCATTATGGCTTCTTTTTTTTTTTCTTTTGGTACCAGGAATTGAACCCAGGGGCGCTTAACCACCAAGTCACATCCCCAGCCGTTTTTAATATTTTATTAGAGACAGGGTCTTGCTGAGTTGCTTAGGGCCTCACTAAGTTGCTGAGGCTGGGTTTGAACTTGTGATCCTTCTGCCTCAGCCTCCTGAGTCAGTGGGATTACAGGTGTGTGCCACAGCACCTGGCTCCCCTTTGACTTTTGTTTATTCAGTCCCCAACTGAAGGACATTGAATTATTTCTGGGTTTAGGTATTTATGCATAGAATTACCATAAACATTTGTGTATAGGTTTTTGTGTGTATAGGCCAATTCCTTTTCTAGATTATTTTATGCCTTGCTCCATAATTAATAATACGATAAAACCCAAACATTTCAATCTACAAAATTGCAAGGGCTTCAGGTGAATTCTTAGATATATTTTCTCAATAGGAAATTCCTCATCTTGCCCCATTATACATAACCAAACTAGCTCCGTCTGCCATTAGTCTACTCCCATTTTCCAATTCTTTCGAACTTCAGAAAGTCTGTTGGCACTCTGGGAGTTTCTGTGCCCCTATTTTAATGTGATACCTTCCATATTTAAAGCAAATACAGAGCAAGTAGTTCTAAGCATTCTGGAACTGTGAATATTCTTTTTTCCTAATTAGGAGAAGAATGAATGAATCTATAATTTTGTGTTGATGGATAAGGTATGTCTGAGAATAACATGAGACAATTGAAAAAATTGGATAGAATTACACAGGTTCTGCCTGTGTTGGAAGGAATGAGTATGAATTATTGGTGGTATCGTATAGTTCTTCAGGAATATAACTCTTGGATTTATTATTGACTCAGTTATTTTATAATTTAATTTAATAAATATTTATTGAGTACCTGTTAAGTGGCAGGCACTATCATAAACAAATCTTTTCCACAAGTTTTTATTAGTACCATTTGAATATATTATGGAACTTTTTTTTTTTTAAACAGGAGCCAATTTTACAGCTCGATCTAGGCCCTTTGCTGTCTTGCCTGTGACTGGAAAGGAGAGGTCAACCATTCTGATGGCTGCTTCCCTGTGCTCAGCGGTCTCGTGGCTGGCTCTGATCTGTCTGGTGTGTTGTTGGATTAAGAAAAGCAAAAACAGAAGTACGTGAATTTTTTGTTTTGGAGGGGGAAGGAATAAAAATATTTAGAAAAAAAATCTTGTATGTTTATTTTTTTATTTCTTCAAAGAGTAATGTTTGTGTGCTTTGCAATACATAAAACTATGTGGAGTCAAACTGTTCAATTAATATAGTAGAGACAAGGATTGCAAAATCTTAAATAATAGCAGCGACAAAATAATAAAAGCTCAAATTCATTGAATATTCACTATGTACCAGGCTCTAAGGACTTTAGATAAATTAATTATTAATGCTCACAACAACTCAATTATGCAGGTGATAAATATTATGCCTACAGTACAGATGTGGAGAATGAGGCATAGAAAGGGCAAATAACTTGCCCAAGGTTACACAGCCACAAAGCATCCAGGCAGTTAGCTCCATGTCCCTCTCCCTGAAACATTATGTTCCATTGCCAGCTGACCCTGCAGAAAATGGGCTAAAGAATCACACAGAAACATCCTTTTCTCCTTCAAAAGAGGGAAACAAGTGCTGGGCATTTTTCTCTGGAAACAAAGAAATTAAGTATGTCCTTGAATATTTCCCCAAAAGCAGAGTATCTTTTCATTTTTTATTTTTTAAGCTGAGTCATTGAGGGAAGGGGGTCTCTGAAAGAACTTCTGTCTATCTTTCTAGCTGGTTCTTAGGAAGAGAAAGAGAGGCAGATAGAGCATTAGTAAATCCCTTATACTAGCCAAACATTATGCTCCAGACCACCACATGTATTTATTATAACATCAAAGTTATAAGCAAGAATGAGTAAAAAGAGCCAAAGTTATAAGCCAATGAATAAAAGAGGCAAAAGGCAAAATAATAATAATAATAATAATAATAATAATAATAATAATAATAATAAAAAAGTACAAAAGAGAAAGGAAAAAGGAGGTAGCACAGTTCTACCACCCAAATATTCGCTGTGCTTGAATTTCTGAGGGATCTTCAGGAAGGGTTGCTCACTTATCAGACCCTGTATCTGAACTTCACGATGGCCAGTTGGCCCTGCCTCTCTCTGTGTCCTGGTTATTTGGGTGGACAAACTGTCTGTGATTTGTTGAAAAGCAGTTTTTTATTTTGTTTGGGTTTTAAATCCAATCATCTACCCACACCACACCCCCGTGTGTGTGTGTGTGTGTGTGTGTGTGTGTGTGTGTGTGTGTGTTTGTAGTACTTTCGGTTTTGTAATAAACTTCTGTTTTTTTTTTTTTTTACATCAAGTGATCCTGTGTAACAGGTGATTTAATTCTCGGCCTCAATTTACTATCCAAACATACTAGCCATTTGAGGACTCTCATTAAGCTCTGCAGATCTTATCTCCTCTTGTTTGTTCCCTCAATGCTAGAAGTAGCTTATTCTTGAAGTTACTTGTATCTATTATTTCAGTCCTTTCTGTTCTTTAAAACTTTCAGTATCTGTGAGCACATTTCCTTATATTAAATCTCCACATTTTTCTGACTGGGTACATTCCTAGTTAGTTTAAAAATTATAAAGAGATGGAAAGAAAATTGACAAAAAATTTCACAGCAATTAGCTCTATATGAATAACTTGCTTTTTCTTTTTTATGTTCTATACTTTCTGTACTTTAATTTCTAAAATTAGCATTTCATTACATTAGAATCAGATAAATGTACTGCTTTCTAACTTCCTCATAAAATAATTCTCCAATTCAGCTTATGTTCTATGTCAGAGTTGGCAAAATTTTTGTCTGAGGACTCTATTATACTGTCAAAAATTATGGAGAACCTAAAGAATTTTTGTCTGTGTGGGTTCTATACATTAGCATTTCCAAATTAAAAATAAAACAGAACATTTAGAGTTTATTTGTTAATTTATTTTGAAATAACAATAATATAGACAGTGAATGTAAGCATAATTAACACTTTTATTTTTTTAAAATGTATATTTTTCAGAAAAGACATTATGAATAAAAAAGTGGCAGTTTTACAAATCTTTTAAATGTCTTCCTTAATGGGAGTCAGCTGGAATCTTCTAGCAGCTTCTACATTCAGTCTGTTGCAATGTATTGGTTTGTGCTGAAGTATATCAAGGAAATCCAGCATCATACAGCTATATAGTAGAAAAATGGAAAATAACTTATTAGGCTTTACAGATAATTGTGAATATTCTTTGACAAGAAGGACTTAAGGTCCACCTCAGTTGCACTATTACAAGCACCTCTACTAGTCTACCGTGTATTTTTAAGTGGAGCATCTACCCAGGCATGGTTTTGAAGCACTATCTCTTGGTCATTTGATACATAATTTTTCACTGAGTTTTGCCGGCTGCTAAATGTTGATATATATTTCCTTCTACAATTAAAAAAATCACAAGTGTTCATATTAGTCTGTAAGATTTTCAAATCCATGAAATTCATGGAAATTAATATAGGTTTTCCAGAATTCTAAGTTGCCCATGAAAACTTGATTTAATCACTCATGAAAAATGCTGTAAGTTCTTTCTTTCTTACCATCTTAGTTCCTTCATTTTAAAAAAGAAAACCTTTCAAATACCCAAATACTAATGACCAGTTTGTCCTCAATCATCCTTTTTAGTTCGGTGAGTAGAAATGGTGTTCCATAAAAATATCAGCAAGTTCACCTTGAAACTCACCTATAAAATTATTTTCCCTTTAGGAAATCACTATTTATATTTTTAATAAAATTAAATCTCTTTATAGTTTCATCAGAGATATTCTTAAGCGAGATAGACTTTTTCTTTGTGGCTGTTGATTTTCATTTTGTTGACTGTGATTTCATCTCCAGGTATGTCCTTCCTGATCACACCTATCTCCAAACATTTACTTTCTCCCCCACAACAATCGCCTTTTCACACTACAACATAGCATTTCTTGACATTATGTTACAAATGTATTTATTATCTCTGTCATCCATACTAGAACAAAAGCTCTATGGAAGCATGTATGGAGTATTTCTCATTCATCATAGTTTTCACAGTGCCCAGAACAGTATCTGGCATGAAAATGTAAATATGTTTGTGATGATTACATTTATTAAACAAATGAATGGAAAATTAAGTATATGTTCAGCCACAGATGGACATAAGATTTAAATTTTTCAGTCAAAAGCATGCATCTGTTTGAATTCTGTTGATTGTACCAATATCAATTTCCTGATGTCGATACTGTTTTAGTCAGCTTCACATTACTACAATGAAACCTGAGACAACTAACTTATAAAATGAAAAGGTTTATTTAGCTCATAGTTTGGGAAGTTCAAAATCCAAGACCAGATGGTCCCATTGGTTTGGCCTCTTCTAAGAATAACAGATAGAAGCACATCATCCAGGGAAGACCTATAGTAACAAATATTTACAGCTCATATTGGGTGGAGGGAGGGAAGGAGGGAAGGGGGGGAGGGGAAGGGAGGGAGGAGAGTACTAGGGAGAAAGAGAGACCAGGTCCCACAGTCTCCTTTGAGGTTATGTCCCTAGTGACCTAAGGACCTCTGAGAAGGCTCCATCTCCTAAGGGATTCACTACTTCCCAACAATGTCATCCTATGAACCAACCCTTTTTAGAATCTATAATTATTTCAAATCAAAAAGTTAAAAAAGTTAGTAATATTCTGTTAATTATTAGCTCTGTCCAACAGAAATATAACATGATCCACAAATGTGAAACACATAGTAATTTTCTAGTTGTCATTCATCCTAATATAGTGAAAATATCATTTTAATGTGTAATGAATGAAAAAAAAAAAAAAAACAGTATATACCCCAGCACAGGATATTTTACTTTTTTTCAAAACCAGCTATGCATTTTATACTTAGGGCACATCTCCATTCGAGCTAGTCACATTTTAAGTGTTCAGTAGCCACACGCGACTACTACTGTTTTGGACCGACAGTTTTAAACTGTAATGTTGGTGATTGGTACATGGGATTCATTATTGCTTAAGTTCTGAATTTATTATATGCATTCTATTGCGTGTATTTCACAAGGATACTGGGAGGAGGCTTAAAGAGAAACATTTTATAAATAAAAAATGTTCTTTTAATCAGAAGAAATACATTTTTGTGTTAATACAGAAACAAAACCTGAAGAGGTACCTAAATCCCAGACTAATGATCAGAAGAACCATATCCATGTCCCATCCAAACGCCGTCGATCACAAGAAGAAAAAGAAAAAGAAGATGCTTTGGCAGAAGAAGGTGAGTTTAGACAATGCCAACAACTCCACAGAGGAGACTCACTGGGAACAAACTGTGGGTCCATTACCTCCCCCCACGAATGTCAGTTTCTAAAGCAATTCTGTTAAAAGCCTTTTCTTTTTGTTTTTTTGTGACTTTTTTTCCTCAAGCAAGTATACCCCAGCATAAGAAGGTACAGGTTCAGCTGATTTTCTCAGCTAGTAACCAATTATTTAAATTGATGCTTATATAGTTTTTCTTAGTAGATTATTGGTTTAACATTTGAGTTGTTACATGAGAAAAGGGGAAACCAGAGTATAGGCATATAATCTTTCCCTCAGCTATTACAAAGCTGCCAATTTGGCAACATTATTGAATTTGGGAAAACAGAGAGTGTAGTTGCCAAATACCTACTATGCAAATTAGATGGAATGTGGAACCCTCAAGAAATATGTCAGCTTTGCTATACCCTGCTTTGTCATTTAGTTGTATTTTTTAGCAAAATGCATGATTTGCCTATATTTTGCATTATACCAGATGATTTTACTTGTTATATTGTTAAATTGCCATTAAAATTGGTGCCAAGCAAAGATTAGCATTTACCTTGGATCAATGCTCTGCCCTTGTCCTGTTAAGGATGCATATAATAGGAATATAGAGCCCAGGACACAAGATGGTTTTGCCAAGTATGGCTATGGTGTATGAAAAACATTCATGTGATTTCCATGGGTCTGAAACATTTTAAAACATACTCTAAAAGGAAGAATGTTCTCTTTTTTTTTCCAAGTAAGAATCAATTATCATATTTTCTGCTTGAAAAAGGAATACCAATCTTACTGAGTTCATGTTTAATCAAAATAGAGCAGCTCAGTGCACTGATGTGTGTGTGTGTGTTTTGCGGGGGGGGGGGGGGGTGTTTGGGTGTGTCTGTGCGTGCATATGTATGTATGTTTGTTTGTTTGTTTGTTTGCCTTTTTGTGTCTTTACCCATGGATAAAATGAGTTTCAAAAAAATTCCAGATTATCCATCTCTTGGACATACAAAAAATGTTAGTAGGAGGTGTGGGTTGAAGTATGAGTGGAGGAGATGAGAATGGAGATGGAGAGAGGGAACAGGTTCTTTCTAGGTGCCATTGAAGATCATTTTAATTTTGGCTTCTTGTCTTTCTTATTAATGGATAAGACTCTTGTCCATATTATTGCATGTAAACACAGGGCAGGTGTTTGAAACAGTGCCTGGACTTAGCTCTTGACATTCAGCTGCACTCTTCAGTGAATGGCGGGAACATTGCTGATCTCTCCCCTCATCTAATTTGGTCATCTACATGACTTTCAGTTGTCTCACTTAAATTAACCACACTAAACAGTCCACACACCTGGATGTTTTAATAAGGAACATTTATGTGGTGGCTTATTAATAAATTATCAGGAATGAGACAGGGACAGGGCTTCTTGGAAGAGGTTTATTAGAAAATCGACACTGAAAATAGAAAGATGTGTTATCCAACCCACCTCACTGTAATCCCTGTATCACAGTGGATTTATTTATTTATCACCTAAGCTTCTTCCAAATCTTAACAGAATCTTTTCCAAAGCAAATAATGAGGTATCATCTATAGTTTTTGAAAATTATTATCATCTACCTAATTATTGCTAGCTTGAAATAAATCTGGTTTTATTCCCCTATTTCCACAACATTTTGTTTTTCCTTTTCTCGCTCTGTTTTTAAACTTTTGGGGTGTACTATTAAAGTGGTTGGCTGTCTTGCTGCTTGGCCCTTTGCCATTACTAAGCATTATTATTGCATTTGAAATTATTTAGCTGATGGAACTATTACTACTAAATTTAGGTTGTAAGCTTATTGTGATATTACTTTTACCAAAAATCTCATGAAAGTAACAGGGTTTCTAGACAGTTGCTACAGAAGGATAAGGGAAGTAAGGTATATATATCTTATACTGTACTGTTCAGTGCTTTTGATGTAAAGAGTCATCTAAATCACCTTTCAAAATTCATGTCTGATCATGTTGCTCTGCTACTTATAGATTTAATGGATTCCCACTGTTGGTTGGAGGGGCAGGGGAATGTGACGAGATTGGGCATGGAACCCAGGGTTGGACAGATAAGATTTAAATCTGACTTCCTTTAAATCTGACTTCCTGGAAAAAGATATTACTCATCTTTGTGACATTTAGGTGAGAACCTGCTGAAGTGTCTATAAGTTACTATTTTAATCTCCCCATAAATAGAAAATAATATTTACTTAGTACACAACAAAGTCTTGTCTGTACATTTGCAATGGATGGTATCTGGTTCCTTGTCCTTTATGAATTCCCAATATGGTTGGTACACAGGAATAGTATTTGGTGGACAATTGGAGAACAAGTTAATTCAATAAACAAGTGTAAAGCAAATGCAACAATATCTATTGGAAGAACTGAAATATGGGAGGGAATGTGAAAGGCAAGTATATCATTTTTCTGAGTTGAATGTTTAATCCTCTGAGTGCTAAATCACATCACACGGTTTCATATCTTATTTAGTGAAGGCTTGATTGTCCATTTTGCAGAAACTCTGGTTCATAGAAATGCCAGGAAAAGACTTCTGCTTTGCCCTGTCAAAACTCAATCTCACATCGCTTTTACTCAATGGTTTCTTTGTTCCTTTAACTTGGTCAATAACATCCAAATCTCCCAATGTAGACATCTCAGAGTTATAGATCTTGAATTCCTAGTTCACTCTTTCTTTTTTTTGAAGAGAGAGAGAGAGAGAGAGAGAGAGAGAGAGAATTTTTTAATATTTATTTTCAGCGGACACAACATCTTTGTTTGTATGTGGTGCTGAGGATCGAACCGGGGCCGCACGCATGCCAGGCGAGCGCGATACCGCTTGAGCCACATCCCCAGCCCACCTAGTTCACCCTTTCCCACTCTGTCCCTTTCTTGCTTATCAACCTCTATCATTTCCACTTCTTCTGTGTCCTTGAGTTTCCTCTCTTGTTGCTTTACCTCTCAGATGTGTCTACAATTCAGTCACATTTACCACATTGCTGGCAGGTGTCTCTCCTCTTTCTCTTTCCCTTCCAGGACAGAATTCCCAATCTGTAACACAGGCTTCCCCATTTCAAAATGTTCTTCTCCAGTGTATCCGCATAGCCACAGTCTCCCATTTCTCCCAAATCCAGATCAAATACTTTATTTTCTTTTTTAAATTCTCTTTATCTAGAAGGAGTGGTTCCCATCTCTCAACTTCTAGAACTCTACCCTTGTTTACATAACATTTACTATGTAATGTAATTGTTCGGTTTCTCCTATCTTTTGTATAAATTCTGTATCTTTTTTAACCCCAAAAGCTCTTTACTATAGAGACTTATTGTTTTAGTTATTTTTTTTTTTTTTTGCTATGACCAAAAGACCTGAGAAGAACAATTAGAGGAGAAAAAGGTTATTTTGGGGCTCATGGTTTCATAGATAGGAGATTATTTTCTTTGGGGCCCAAGGTGAGGGAAAACATCATGATAGAAGAGGTGGCAGAGGAAAGTGGCTCAGGACATCATACCAGGAGGGAGAGCAAGCAAGTTCCCTTCACTAAGGACAAAATAGGAGCCCAAAAGGCACACCCTCAAAGACCCAACTCTTTCAGCTATACCCTACCTACTACCTACAGTTACTACCCAGTTAATCCCTAGAAGGGGATTAAGATGCTCATTAGGTTAATTGTTCTCATAACCCAATCTGTTCACCTCTGAACTTCCTAGCATTGTTTCAGATGTGGATTTTGGGGGACTCCTCACATCTAAACCAGACCAATTATGATATAAAACCACGAATAAATATTATTGAGTAAATGATGAAGATAGAGATGAAATGATTCTCCCTTCTTTCCGAAGACCCTTGGATCCCAGCAGTTGTTAAAAACTGGTAGAAAAGAATAAAGAAAAATTATCCTCAATTTCTTTAAAAACAGATCAACAACAGGATAATGCCCATGACTGACGACAGTATAAGGACTGCTCATCACTGTTAGCAATGGGCAGAATGTGACATGGTGTTTCCTGCAGTGCTTTCTGCTGACTACTATGGCTGCCTCTCTCAGTTGTCTTGACAGTCCTCTGTCTTTGCAGATGTCAGTGCATTTTTCTCCAAATCTTGCACTGATGTTTGGCCACTCACGAATTTTATTTGTAGAATCCATACATCCAATGTTGGGAATTAAAATTCTACATGTAAAAAAAGGCTTGCCTTTATACATATATGATTATGAACTTCAACTTCAGGGACTCCTTATCTCTATCATTTAGAGACTGTTAACTATATCTGATATGCTTCATGAATGTGGAATAAAAAGGACTGTTTATGAACTTATCTTTTATGAGCATCAATCTAAAAGAATGCCAGAGGGTGAAGAGGAGAGAGATGGCTTCAAGGTGTTTAGAAGTAAGGAACAGCTGAGACATTTCCCAAGCTCTCAGAAAAGTAGAAATATGTTTGGAATTCATTAATGGATAACATGTCTATATCACATAAGGAAAAAAGATAAGAACATCCCCTATTTTAAAACCATGAAAAAAAAATTAGCACTTATTCAATAAGAAAAGCTTAATAAACTTATAATGGTTTTGATATGAGGTGTCTCCCCAAAACAGCTCATGTCTGAGAAAATGTGAGAACATTTAGAGGTAAAATGATTGAGTTATGAGACCTTTCACCCAATCAGTGAATTAATCCCCTGCTAGGGATTAGCTGAGTAGTAATTGAAGATGGATGGATAGGGTGTGCCTAGAAGAGGTGAGTCATTAGGGGCATGCCTTTGGGGTACATACTTGGTAAACTGAGCTTAGTTCCTCTCTCTGCATACTGATCACCATGTGAGCTACTTCCTTCCAACATACTCTTCTGCCATGATGTTCAACCTCACCTCTATCTCCAAGGAATGGAGCCAGCTGTCTATGGACTGAGACCTCTGAAACTGTGATCCCTCAAATAAACTTTCCTCCTCTATGATTGTTCTGGTCAAGCCTT